AGATAGATATTTTAGTTTGATCTACGTCACTTTCCCATGTCCATTGATTTCTAAAGTTTAACTTTGTAATTAGATTTTAACTTTGGACTAAAGATATATAATTTTTATTTTACATAATTTGTTCCTTAGTGTGATACGCATTTCAGATTTGAATAGGGAATATCACTTCAAAATTAGGAATAGAATAAGTACAGTGAGCAATAACTTAATTCTCATTATCAAGAGTGAAAACTTGTATGCTTTGTTTATCAGTTGCATTGAACATGTGTTTATTTTTTAAATAAGTTTAAAATATATTTTAACCCTTCTGTGAGGTGCCAGAATTAACTTCTTAACAAACCTTGTAGTGTATTATTTGAACGTCTGAAAGTCAAATAAAAAATTATATAACCAAAGACTTGTTTGTATTAATCTGAAAAACTACTTACAGAAATTTTAAAAATAAAACTAAAAAGCTTAAATTTACAAGTGAAAATTTGCAATTTCTAAATCAATTGCTGTTATTTATTTAACATAAGATGCTCTACTGTTTTGAATTCAGGAATTAACTGGCGGCTATTATCCTCAATAATAATGAACATAAAACTTCCATGATTAAAACAAAATACAGGTATTGGTTGTAATGTTTAGAAGTGACATGTAAAGTATTTAATTTATCGTTATCTATATATTTAGATGAATATATAGGTTTTTGAAGTCCTCATTTTGTGTATCAGTTATTTTTGTATGTATTTGTTATAAGCTATGTGTTATTTATTGAAATTATTATAAAAAATAAAGGCAGGTCAGTAAGTGTTATTTTTTATTTTACTAATCCTTGAATACTAAACCAAAGAACCAAATTATTAATTTCAGTTATACTAGGGGCTAGTAGCAGCGATTGCTGCCCTTCACCTCCGTTGTACCTAATTTAGCCTTAACCCTATGCTCTACCATTCCTAACTCTCCTTCTTAGTCACTGTCTTCCCCTGACATGATAAATATCAACATTGCATTACCATTCTAACCTAAATACATAACACTAAAATCAATAAGCAAACAAATACACAATGTTTACATCAGCTGGTATATTTAAAACAGCTTATAGAAACACTTAAGCAGTAATTACAATAGAAAATGACTGGATCTTTGACGGCCTGTGGAGCAGAGCAGAGGTAATCTTTTGACACTTCTGATATTTTTCCCACCGTCCTTGGGCCTTAAGCTTTAAAATGAATCCTCAACAGCCATGCTACCCTTTTCCTAGCTTGAGATATTTCGTGGGGACAGATTTTATTACGGAATTAAATATATAGATTTATGATTATAATTTCGATTTGATTGAGATATTTTGTGGGGACAGATTTGATTACGGAATTAAATATATAGATTTATGATTATAATTTCGGAATTTACATACATTTCTGGTACCGGTATATTAAGGCTTATTGCATAAACATAGATTATGTTATTTAAATGAGACAAATTTTGTTATTGTGATGGAGTTTTTTCAATCAATGATGGCTATTCAAGGCCTGATGATATAACATTACAAACTTTTAACTTAATTACATGAGCAAAATCAATTTGATGTTCTTCGCATTCTCTCAATTTGCTAATTATTGGGACCACCAGTTTTGATCGCTGTGGTGTCCTTAATGAGACCTTAATATGAAGATGTTCCCCAAAACCCTAAGAGAACCAAAAAAAAACCGGCGTGAGTGAGTGAGTTTACGTCAAGACTGAGTCTAGACATTAACTCCCACCGGTTGGGTAAAAAAAAAACTAGTCATCTGTGTTGTGTTTTCGATGTTTGTAAATACAGTATGTGCGAACTAAGATGAACTTTCAGAAGAAGCGATATTATCCTTGTAAAGCCAGATGATGGCTTCATTGTGAGCTGAAACTTGTTGCCACAGCAACCAATTAGATTACCAACAATTTTTGATTTAGTTTATCCTATTTTTATGGGTTGCCATTTTGCTATGACCATTGACCATATTATACTACAAAATGAATAACAAATTAGGCCAATGTCGAATGGTGAAATTGAGAACATAAAATGGAATACTCTAACTCAAATCTGTTTTGATTTGCATCAGTCAGCGGCTCTGGTTTTATACGCCGCAGAAGTACGGTAGCACGCTCAAGGGGGGATTTTTGGAAATATTTCCTTGAAGAGTGGTCTCCAGCAGCAAAAGACGCAAGCTGGTAGCTGTTTTTGCGGTTTTCCCTTCAGCCTCTTATTGTCCGTTTCTCTAAAACCCTGATTACGTATGTAAACATCAACTTGGGGCGGTTGATATTTACTTTGTTACATTGTATCTTTGTAAACTTACGTTTATTCTAACAATCTCGCAAACCAGCATGAATGTACTATGGGAACAGGTGTTTCCCAATTTTCACACTCAAAACATGTAGAGCTTTAAAAAAATATTTTAAAGCGTTTGTGGTTATGGAGAAAATTAAAAACAAATTTTAATTCTGATGTTATTGCACACTCGGACAGGGCAACTAACTTCTGCCTGGAATACAGTGGCCAGTTTCCCCAGGCTTACGCAAAACTGCGCCTTGGGCCTGACTCCATATATTCCTGCCCAGTGCCCGTTGGCTTTTTAGAGCCATCCGTATACCAAGTGATCCCCTTTTTCATGTATTCAGGTTCACCCTTTTCCCAGGCAGCCCTGTAAACAATGTTGACATTTTATGGTTTTTTTTAGATCTTTGATCTTCACCATCCTGTCTGGTAACATTTCCAAGGTGTCTATCTGCACCTTGTCCACAATTCTTTTGTGCTCACTGGAGGCATTAACTTCCAGTTGCCACTGCAAGCCATTCTGTAGGCTGCCATCCTTGCCTCTCCTTTCGCAATAATGTCGAGAGGTGGCAGGTTTAGCCCTACTTCCAGGGCTAGTTTTGGAGTGCCTCTCATGACTCCTGTGATGCTAAGGCATGCCACTCGCTGGATTTTTTGTAGTCTCTTTACAGCGGTAGTTTACATTACCTTGGTCTACCAGACCACCGAGCCATACACCATCATCGGTCTTGCAACCCTATGTATAACCAGTTAGTAATTTATGGGCGTAGACCCCAGGTCTTCCCAACATCAGTCTCATCATCATAAGTGTGTGGCTGGCACTGGCGATTTGTTTGTTCCTAGCAGTTTTTGTGTGTGTTATTTAAGAGTTTAAATGTGCTATGTCGTAGCCATTGGGGACACATGTAATTCAATTGCATTGCAAGACAATGAAACTTCGACGTTCCTAAAATTGCACGCTGCTTAACGGTCACTGTAAGATGCAATCAAACGATGCACCTGTATTACTTTCAAGTATCGTATTGAGTGATGTAAGAAGTATGAATTCTCTTCTATTTTCTAATCGGTTCACGAGACTGTCTCAACTTGTCGACTAAAATGTGAAAAACTGAACTTCAGGGTGAATAAAAAGTCAAGACCCCCCACTCTAATATTTTTCCAAGTAAATTTACAGAGATATCCTTTTGGTGGTCGTGCAATCTTAGCAGGAAGTTTCATTTTATGATTTTGACATTTTTGAGTGTTCCCCCAAAAGGGGGGATTTTGGGGCCAACTCAAATATTTTAAATGCAAACCCCCTTCAAGTGACACCTCATTTTGAAGGGTTTACAAAAACTTAAAGAATGCTGAAAACTAGAGGTCGCTATCTCTTCTCTATTAAAAAATGGTAGCCCGTCAAATTTTGTGGAAAATCAATGGTAATATTGGTTCGTAATGGTAATGTTGGCTACCATTTGGATAGAGAAGAGATAGCGACCTCTAGTTTTCAGCATTCTTTAAGTTTTTGTAAACCCTTCAAAATGAGGTGTCACTTGAAGGGGGTTTACATTTAAAATATTTGAGTTGCCCCCCATGCAAATCCCCCCTTTTGGGGGGGCAACCAAAAGTTTCAAAATCATAAAATGAAACTTCCTGCTAAGATTGCACGACCACCAAAAGGATATCTCTATATATTTACTTGGAAAAATATTAGAGGGCGGGGGGTCTTGACTTTTTATTTACCCACCTGCACAACTCTCAACAATACACTCTGCCATTGTTGGCTTTCTGAGAAAAAAAAAAAAATATATATAGACTATGAAGAGTGGGTCGTGTGGTCCACTGGTCCACTCATTAACAGGAGGTATAATGATAAAAGGCTATTCGTGTTATATTTTCACTTTTCAGAAGACGATCTTGTAAGGAATCATTCACGTCAGCTGCAATCTTGACTCTTCCCTCACTATACATCCTTAAGACCCTTTAATTTGTAAAAAACCATCAGTCATTTTTTAACACCAACATTAACTCTAGTTTTCCAGTACATATTACCTTACGCACTACAACTTAAAAATTCCCGTCCACTCAACTTCATTTTTCCAACCTCACCTTCTGTACAATGGAATTAAACTGTTTAACCAACTTCCTCAACATCTAAAGCTGGAGACTGATCTGATCAGGTTTAGGAGAAAACATAAAAACAAAACAGTTTGGTTGAAAATGCTTGCTACCATAGAGTCCGCGATTTTTCCACTGACATTTACTCAGTGATTTCTGTCCTGTTAGATTTACTAGAATTAAGTTAAAATTGTTTTAGTTAGTGGAGTTTTTTATATTTTATCTTTTGTACATTTCATTGTAAACTTGAATATTCCAATACATGTAATTTTGTAATTCTTGAATAAAGAGCTTATGAGTTATCATATCACTTCCTCACTACAGACTTGGTTCAAGAAAGTGCGTTGACAAGTGTGCACGCATTCGTATTAACTTTTAGTGGGAACACGACTACTACTATCTAAGCTCGGAATCGAAAGCAAAATAGCTAGAATATAGCTACATTAATTATCGCTATCCTTAAAAATAAAGCAGCAAAAGAGGCTACTTCAGGGACTTATATCATTGAACGAACTATAATATTCAGCGCCTCAAATAACATGTAATTAATCATATATTCTGTTTTTGCTGTTTTCCTGTTTCTAACGGTACCTAGGTCACTGTCAGTGTCAAAGTCAGCTTGTTTCTGTTTGTTTCGTAGTGTAGCTTGAGGTTATGTCATATTTAATAAACAATAAATTTTATTGTAGCATATAAAGTAACAACAATAATAATATTACTTTTGTGGGTCGTTTTTGATACTTTTGTAAGTATGCTGTCGTTTAAAATAGTCGTATTTGCTTGTAATTTTATTTGTTACATTTATAAAATTAAGTAGGCCTAAATTTAAGTTCCAACAAAGTTTTGCCAGTTACATTTATTTTAACATGTTAACATTTATTTTAGCTACAACAAATACATTTAAATACATTTTAGCTATAAGCTAATTTTACTTTTAGCTTTTACCAAACACAATAACTTAAGTGACATCAAAAGTGTTACCGACCAAATATGATGTGATGTAGAAAGACTTAACGGTACCTAGCTTTAAATAACTAATTTAAATTAAGTAGGCTAGGCCTAGCCTAACATGCAATTAATTAAATGAAACTTATAAGCAAGCCGGTAATAATAATTTTACTAGGCCTTTAAAGTTCTATTATAGCCTAGGCTTACTTATAAAAACTCAACCAAACAGTGGAAAGGGTGTTCAGCAAGCCAAACAGTTAAACCACGTTAAACTAACTGTAACTTTGTTTCAAGCCATTCAAGCAATTTAACAGGAGAGGAAGGTCTGACATTGAAGCTTTTATAAAGTTGAGATGTGAGTAGAGTTCTAACATAGCAACCATACATACATTATTTGATGTACCTCTGCAAGATTATTGCTGAACAAGTAATCAATTTTTAAATTTTAGTGACCTTCAGATTTGAAAGTAACCACTTGGTTACACAAGTAGGTGATGTATGTAAGTTTAAGTACTGTAGTGAAAAAATTATGTGGAGCGAGCCCGAGCCGGTCTAGGCCTATAATGTTGGAGCATGGGACTTCGGGGTTACAGATTTAAGTTTAAAATGGTTCATTTTTATAAAACATTGATTTACTGTTATGGTATTTTCAAGGAGAGGATCGCCATTCTTTTACCACAGATAATAAAGTAGCCTTTTACCGTGCACTGTTGAGTTAAGGTTTGGTTAGTTTTTACATAGGTATTTACGACTTTGCAAAGAGGACACAAAAAAATTGTGTCTTTATACATTTATCCTTTTTTCTTTTAAGTAATACATTTACACAACATAGGCCTAATAACTTTTGTTTTTATTAATACAGTAGAACCTCGATAGTTTGATACTTTGTGGACTTAAGGGATATCGATCTATCAAAATGTGTAACTATAGGGAGTAAATGGAGTTTAATATACAGGAAAGATAAAACACAAGTCTTATATAGAAATCACCCAAATTTATTAAATAGGTAGGCCTACCAAAAAGCTTAACAATTTCACTGCTCATTATTTAAGTCTCAAGTCAACAATAAACGAAAAATTAATGTTCAAGTCAGCTTACATCACAATAGTAACCATTAAATATCACTTGACAAAATAGCTCAGCCCGTGTCAAACTACAAGGAGTGTCGACCTATCGAAGGTTTACCGTACAACCTTCTTTGACATTATCACAAAGTAGGACTTAGCTAAACTCAAATAAATCAACCTAACCTAACCGCTGGGTGCCGCATAACCGACCACAGTGAAAAAACACGGAAAGAGTCTTGAAAAGACCCCATAGCTTGAATAGTTAATATTCAATCAATTCATACAATCAATATTTATTGAGTCATATATTATATCCGATATGATAAACTAATATTTCATACTAGGTATCGTAAGTACACTGCGGAACTGTACCCGACTTTGGTCTCGGGTCTCAGATTCTACGGATCAGCAAGATTTTTATCTTTAGTGCTGCGACCCTCTAGGTCTAGCCTGAAGTAATGTGTTTTTAAAGCAGCTCTGGGCTAAAGCCTTGCAACCTAGAATGTAAAAAAAGATATTTTAAAGAGTATGAAAGAATTACCTATTATTTAAATATATTGGTATTTTAAATAGCTGATAATAACAACATCATGTTTATATTTTTACTTGCAAATTGTATAATTTGAAGGTTTTTTCAGTCATTGAAGTATCAGGGATAACAATGTTATCCTCGTTGATAAAAGAACACCAAGCTAAACAAGCAGCCAGAAAAGAAGCTCAAGGTATGTTTTTGAACTCATGTGACAGATAATAATAGCATTATAGTCTGTTCAAAAAATTTAGGCTGTTTGAAAGGAAGTTCCCCCACCACTTTTTTTCTAAACGCGTAATACCAATGGTAATAATACTTTTATCTGAAATGGGGACCATAAAAATGTAGGTATTTTAAGCTAAGTATGAATGGAGATGAGTGATGATCAATGTATTGCAGCTGATTGACGTTTTGACAAATTTCAGCTGTTGAGCTATGTTTTAATGGTAGGATCAAGATGTGAAGGGGATAAATTTTCCCCCTTAAAACCGCCTAAATTTTGTGAACGGAGAATAGAGATTATGTGTTGACAAGAAGAGGTTAAAATACTTGGTCTTGCCTTTACTATTTGAATTTTTATAGGTACCTATATAATTTTGTAAGTTACACCGTGTGGTAAAATATTTCATAATCAAATCTACATGTTGAATATTGAGCACAAATAACAGATCTTGCTAAAGCAGGAGCGCCTAATGAAGCAGTCGGTAGAACTATGATATACGACTCCATCTGATAAATTATGCAGTTATAGGAAACTTATAGCCAGTTATCAAACTTTGAAATTCTTCGAAGCTAAAATGAAATTTGCATCAGAGCTATTGCTATCTCAGCTATGGTATCTTTCAATACATTTTGCATTTCATTCTCAACTAAAGCTGAATAAGTCCCTTACTGAATTCTGTCTTTTGCCTGTTTGTATGTTTGTTTGTTGATAACGCATAGGTAATAAACCTGAACTGAAACATGAACTATAACTGAGAAACATGAACAACTAAGATGATTGATATCACTGGATGATGTTGAGTTGGTCAGGGTGGTAGGCTACCCTTATTTATTTATTAGAGTTTTACGGGAAAGACTGAGCACTGTTGATGATAAAAATGTCAACTGGTATGGTGTGGTGTTACTGTATTAAGCAACTTACTACTAGTGTAAAAAGAAGCTATCCATTTAATCTCTGGGCTTTGCCTCAAAGATCTTGAAAAGTTTCTTTCTAAAATCTATCAGATGTAAAATATATAGTGGACAGAAACAGTCACATGACATTTATTTGCAAGGCAATTGGTTTAATAAAGAAGGAATTTTATTTAGGGTAAAACCCTTTTAGTACTCTACTAACTTTAATGTTTGATAATTCTTTGTTTGGAATATGACAAAGTTATCCAATCAATTGTTATTAGCAGAAAAAGCTTTTGAATCTTATTTTTAAAGTGCTAATCTCGTCTATGTGTTATTCTGATTACAGAAGCAAAACGTAAAGAAGCAGTTGAAGCTGCTAACAATCTCACTGTGGCTTTAGTCGATCACTTAAACGTCGGGTGAGTCTGGTGTTTATATTTATTTAGTCTTCTCAACTTTTTACTCTCAACATATATTATATGACTTTAAGTTATTTTATATTGAATTTTTTAAATTTTGTAATAAATTTCAATTTACCACAAAGTCAATGCAATTCCTAGTGTTCTTTCAGTATCTACATTAGGTGTTCTTTGGCAATCAATACCCTCAATGTTAATTTCCATTTGTTTGATTTACAGTAGACTCCCTCTTATACCCCTGGTATGTAGTATGATGATACTAAAGCAATAATTGGCATGTTTTAGAGTGGCTCAAGCTTACCTGAATCAGAAACGGCTGGATGCAGAGGCAAAGCTGTTGCATCAAAGTGCGACTAACTTTGCCAAACAGACGCAACAGTGGCTCGCTCTGGTGGAGGGATTCAGCAGCGCTCTCAAAGAGATAGGAGACGTAGAGAACTGGGCCAAGAGTATAGAGGAGGACATGCAAACCATCAACTGTGCATTGGAGTACGCTTATAAAGGTGATTCTTGGTTTCAGGAAGTTTTAATAGCGTTTACAGTCGAACCTTGATAGTTCTGCTCTCGATAATCCGAACCCTCCAGTAATCCGGCTCAATCCCATCCCTTAACAAAATTATTGTATAAAAGAAATTAGGTAGAACAAGGCTAAGCTAGTCAGGTTCCACCATCTCCCATGTCCATTAGAAAGTTTTTGGTCTATACTTACTTTACACCAAGTTTTGTAGCTTTAAAAAGAAAACATGATTATCAAACAATTAGTAAGATCAGGTATTCAGATAAGAAAGTTATGTTTGCAGCCTGGAAAACTTGCGTTTAAATATACAAAATCTTATCATGTTTTATCAGATTTAGATTTATCTTAAATTATTAGAGTTGAAATAATTTCTAAGACTCTATAACTCTGTTTGTTTCAGTTTCCCAAGAAGGATCCTGAAGTTTCCAGTTTTTGTTGGCTACTGTAATTTGTACATACAATTGATTAGTGTTCTATCGTATGTCTTGTATTATTTTACAAAATATTTATGTATGTACAGTCATTTGTGTTAATAAACAAACAACAAATTGTACAACCTTTGGTTGTTCTAAATTCAGTGAGGTGTGACCCCGAGACCCAAGGTCAGAGTCGTGTTAATTAGATCTTCTCTGATGAATGAATGCTGCTTGTGTTGGTGTTGTTCTGGGTTGATTTAAAAAATAAGTTCCAAGTGGGACATCTACAAGCAGGCGTCAGGGTTTGAGTGAGCTCCGACCAATGACAGAATTTTGAGCTTAAATATAAATTTCAATTGGTGTGAGTTTAGTAGCAGCCCCTTCGATTGTTACTCATGCAGGAGAGTGTGTTCTAGCATCCAATTTCTTTGGATAAAATAAATCAAATAAACAAAATGTTGTAAACTATGTTTACCTACGACCGTTTTTTAAAGTAGCCATTTCAGTCCAGTTCTTAGAATTGAAAAGTTTCACTTTACAGCTGTTTACTTTCATATCAGCATAGTTTCCTTTCATATCAGCATAGTTTCCTTTCATATCAGCATAGTTTTTCTCATATCAACACAGGTAACGGACCAATGAGGTTCAAGTATTGAGAGAAAAGAATTAAAATTGTAATGTTTCGAACGGCAACTAATCAGCTGATCAGCTGATCAGTTGACCAATTTAATTGTTGATCCGACTGGTTCATAATCATGTTGATACTCGCGTATTCTTAATTAAGTTGGTGGAAGTCCAAAAATAAATAAAATATTTGCCGAATTGTACCTGATACAATATTATTTATGGTAAGAATGCTGCTAGCAATGTAATATTTAACGAAGTTTAACAAACACGTAATTACAGGAAATCAGCTGATTATACAACAAGTCGTTGCATCACTTTCAGTGGCAATGACAATACACGAAAACATAACCTCTCTAAAAAGTTATCAGTAATTTTCTACTCGTGTCGTAAAGACTCACTTAACGCAATCGTTGCGTAAACTACTATTTTTTCACATAGTGACACACTACGTCGATGCTATAACAAAATCTTTAATGTTGCCTACTTTCACTTTCATTGACTACAGGATACCTACTGAAGTAAAAGTCCCATCTATATGGACCAGCTGTCGCCAATTTTTTATTAAATAAGAACGTAGTTGTCTGAGCCAGTCACAGAATGTGCTATAGTTCGGCCGCTTAGAAAACGACCTGCGCGCTAATGCTAAACCAATGCTGGAGGAGGTCGCTTTCTAAGCGGCCGAACTATAGTGTCTAAAAAAATGTTCAAACATATAAAGAGCATACAGTGAATATTTACATGTGTACAGTTAAGAATTTTAAGGAAAAAAACACATTAATATCATTTTAATATGATTTAAATAATAAGACCATGGCCGTTGGTTATTTATACATTACTAGCTGTTGCCCCTCTGCTTCGCCCGATTGATTGATTGTGAGAGGGGAGGACTCGTCGTCCAAGCACGTCAACCGAAGCTTATTGTGCATCCCACTTGCCACTAACTGGGTAAGCCTATGCCTGTGTTCTTGACTAGGTGCAGGAGCTTTTGCCCAATGTTAGCGTCTGGTTAATCACCTGGCTGCTTTAGACCAAACAGAGCCCTTCTCCTAACCCCTAGTCCGGAATAATGTGTTTTGCAGTCTCATCGGACTGGTTGCTAAGTCGACACTCCTGCTTGTCATTGACAATTCCTAGAGTGTGGAGATGCATGCCCGTTTTTGACCCTGTCAGCGCCCTAGGCACAACTAAACAACTAATAGTAGTGCCCCTTTGCAATACATATAACAGGGTGTCCACCGACCGGGAATCAAGCGAGAGTTTTTTGAACCGGGAATTTTGTGTTTCTACCTGGAGTTTTCAGTTTACCGTGATCACACATGACAACAGTGACGTTTCCGTGACCGCAGGAGACGATAATATGTCTACACACGACCGCGAGGGATAATCAAAATTTTCTGCCATCACAGAAGGCAATGATGATATTTACAGAGCCACGAGAATTCTGCCACGATCACGGAAGACGATGATAATGTCCACACAACCGCAGGAATTGGCAAAAAATTTGCCGCGATCGCAGAAGACGATGATGATCTCCACACAACTGCGGGACATGATTAACATTTTGTTGCAAACGCGGGAGACGATTACCATGTATTCACGACCACAGAAGATACAATAATGATTTCTACACGGCCGCGCGGGATGATCAGAATTATTAATCGCGGTCCTAGGCCCTCTTTTATTCATATTTTATTTAAGAAATTTTCCGCAACTTAGCGATTTAAGCAAGCTTTGCCTATATGCTGATGATGCAAATTTAAAAATAGCCGCAGGAACATATGCTGAACTTGAAGCCAAGGCCAATTCTGATATATTATTACTTAACAGTTTTTTTAATTCAAATAATTTGCGTTTGAACACAGATAAAACTAATTTTATGTGTTTACAAGCAGGAAAAACTAATCTGCAAAATCTGCCAAAAATTTTAGTTAATAACAAACACAATTCAAAATAAAGACCACTTCAAATTCTTGGGATTAGAAATTGATGAGAATTTGAGGTGGAATCATCATATTGATCAGTTGCTTTCTAAAATTTCATCTGGCCTTTATGCGCTAACAAGATTAAAACCCCTATGTGAAAAGTAAACTTTAAAAATTATATATTTTTCATACATACATTCAATCATATCATTTGGAGTTTCACTTTATGGTGCAGCAAAAAAGAAAAAATTAAAATTAATTCTAAAGAGGCAAAAGAAAGCTATTAGAATTTTGTGCAATTTAAAAAGCAGAAAGAATTTTCAGAATTTTTGAATTTTCAGTCAAAGAATATTTTAAAACTGAGACTATTATGACTGTTTATGGAATGTATGTCTATGAAACAGTATTATCAGTAAAAGACAGATTTAATGAATTACAACTTATTGGAGACTATCACAATTACTTTACTAGAAATCGAGAAAACCTGGCCACAACCTCACATACTCTGCAACTTTTTACGAAGACACCTAAATATGCCGGTTCCAAATTTTATAATAAACTTCCTAAAGAAATCAAATTAGAAACATCCAAAAATAAATTTAAATCAAAATTGAAAAAGTTTCTTATCAACAAGGCTATGTACTCCTTTGAAGAGTTTTAGTTCTATATTATTCTAGTTATTAATCGCTATATTTCATTTAAATTGAAACTTTTGGTTTTAAAATAATGTTATCTGTATTTTTAATTTTGATATTTTCATGTATAAACTTTCATTTGCACTGCTTGTTTTAATTTATTTGATCTGGAAAGCTATTAATATCGTTGGTATGTTGTTATGCCATGCATGATAATGATGAGTATTTTAGTTAAGTTAAGTTAGTTTTATTAAATTACTCTTGACACCATTCCTGTATTTGTGTATGTACTTAAATGAATAAAGTTATATGAAATTAAATGAAATGTCTAAATGAGCCGACTGCGGAAAATAGTAAGAATCTTGCTTCAAACACGGGTTACGATTATGATGTCTAAACGGCTTCAAGGGATTATCAGAAGTTTACCGCGATCGCATGCAAATACAACCACCAATTTTTTCATTTTCCAAATTTTTGGCGCCCCCCAAATAAACAAATTGTGCCTGCTGTGCCTATTCGGTAAATCGGCCCTGTGAACATGTTTCCTGAAATGGCCGTGTCCAGTGATAAGAGCAAGTACCTGCTAGTCCTGCCATCTCCCCGAGCTTTCGCAGCCAGTGAAAAGTGAAGAGGGTGCTAGGTTCTGAGAGCAGTTTTTTACCAAGTGATTGTCCAGGATAATTACGCCAATGCTCAAGGTATCAATCAATCAATAATCAACTCCTGGACCATATTTGTTGATTGCATGTTAGCGGCAGCTTTGCTGATACCATTCACCCGACTTTTGGGTGATATTATGAACCGGCTGAAGTTGTGACTTCACTACAGGCTAACTTGACCTGTATAAAAGTTTGCTTTTACAGGAGCAAATATTAAAACATGACATCAGCTGTCATGATTTTATCTTTTTTGATAAAAATCTGTTGGGGATAAAAAATTGGGTGAGTATGCATGTTTGCTTTTCCAATCCTGTATACAATTTTTCAACGAAAACTATAACTATTTTACTTTGGGTTGGCAAGCACTAAAAAAGATTTAGAGTAGGAAATTTGCAATGTTCTTATGAAGTTACGGGTTTTATTCGGTCTAGCTGCTGTACCCCATGCCTTGCAAAAGGGAAAACAAAAAATTAATAGTGCTGCAATCTCTTAGTAATCCTTGTAACCTTGAATTCTATTGAACATCATAGAACCCAACTTGTTGATTTTTTTTTTAACAGATGTCAATAATATTCTTTGGTTCTTTTAGCGAATTTCCCGTATAGGGAATAAGCTATTATCGTAGGTGTCATGGTAAGACTTAGACCCGGGACCAAATTACTTTTTAATTTTGTGGTCCCCAGAGGCCAAAAACACCATCCGTTCAAATTCATAAATATTAATGTGTCCGTTAGCGCGATAACTCGAGCGAAAATGATCCGATTTTTATGAAATTTGGTACACACGTGTACACCTACGTTTATTCTAATGAGATCGCGAACTAGCATGATCGGACTATATAGGGGGTTTGTTTATGGGGGGTTTTATGGCGTGAAAATTGGTTTTATCATAAAATTTTCCAATTTCTTTCCAGACCATTTTTAGAGCTTAAAAAATAAATAATTTTGTATATAGAAGCGTTGTTGTATGCCTAACAATTACGGAGGTAGTAAAAAAACTTTATTTATTATTAAATTTTTAATTCCCATGTTATTCTTATGGAGAATTAATAAACTGTTGTAGTTTGTTTGTTTATGGACATACTGTATTAGAATCAAATTTGGCAATTTTGTTTATTTCATAAAGCTATAAAAACTTTAATGAAAACACATCTCAATACCTTCCCTGTAGCAACAAACCTAGGTACTCATTAAAATTAATATTATTTAAATCCTATACTCTAATACGAGCAATGTTTGCTTGTATGTATGTATGCTTGCACCAAGATCTCGAAAACGGCTCCGACGATTTTCTTCAAATGTTGTAAATAGTTTATTTTTGGCCTAAAAACGAGTTTACTGCAGTCGGAACTGCCAACAAAAATCTAATTACGTAGAAAAATGAAACTGAAAGTCACATTTTTTTAACATTAGTCTTATGGGTTGCTAGGTAACCATGTTGGCTGAATTAAATAACAAGCGAAACGGCACAC